GGTGTCGTTGGCGTCGGTTGCCGCGAAAGTCCACACTTCTTCGTCGAAGGTACTATTCCCTGACTCGGGTGGTCTCTTATTTCCCTTCTTAGGGTTCTTGTTGCTTGCTTTGGGCCTTCCAGCTGCTTTCGACCGGCACTCGGCCTCCCAGTGGCCTTTTCTCTTGCACCAGTTGCACTTGCCTGGCTTGACCTCGGCGTTGAGCGCGCGTTCGTCGTTGTTGGCGCCCTTGGGATTAGTCAAGGCTCCGGATCGCAGTGCGGCTTTGTATTCAGCTTCGAGTACGACTCGGACGGTGGCCAAGTTGTTGCTTTGGGTGCGTGGCATTGAGTGTACTTGGTGTGTGACGGCTCTCATTTGCCAGGGCATCATGTCGAGGAGCCTGTCGACCACCATGGAGTCGTGGATGGCGTCTCCACTTGCGCGCAGCTTTCGAAGGACAATTTCGTAGCGTTCCAAGAACTGCGGTAAGGTTTCTTGTTTGGTGTTCCACTTCATGTTGAAGTATTCAGATAGGGTGGCCAAGCGGTCGACTCGCGTTTTCGGCTCGTGGTGTTCGGCTAACGCGCGCCAGGCCTCGACGTATGTGTCCATGTCGGCCACGTATTGCTGTTGCGACTCGGAACAGCAAGTAAGGAGTATTCCCAATGCGTACGCGTCTTCCTCTGATGTGTACTTGGGTGCCTCAGTCGTGTGTCGTGTCGACTTCGGTGGTTCGGGGTCGTCGTTGGCCTTTGCCAGGTCATACTTTGCTGCGAGTTTGATGCCGGCGTCATACACGTGCTTGAGCTTCTTGCTCAGCATGCGGCCCTTGAACGCGGTACGCCAGGAGTTCCAGTTCTCCTCCGTCAACATCCGCATCGTAGATGTCTTGTCGTCGCTCATGTCGCTTGGGCTCATAACCTGTTAGAGCGAGGTAGTCGAGCGCGTGGCTGCAAAGCCAGTAGGAGTAGGTTCAAGAGTGATTCATTGGTGGTTAACGTCTGTGTCGATATGATCCTCGCTGACCTAACATGCACTCCTCGTGTACCAACATTCTCAACACAAACGACAAGTCAAATTGTTGTGCATAGGATAGAAAAAAAAAAACATTTTCACAACATCTTGTGTGTCAAGCTGGGTGCAACGGTCCAATCACTTTTCGACTCGAGGAGGGACAACTCGGCTGGAGTTTATCTTGACATGTATATGATCTGTCATGTCCACCCTCCTCGCGACATGGCGGCACGTTGGTCATGACAACCCACCGACACGGCCAGCAACCCACGTCCGCCGCCGATGCGTCATTTCCAAACATGCGAGCTTCGACCGTGACTGTTGTTTTGGCTGCCGTGGGTGCTGCGACTGCCGCCACCCTTCCGCCAGTGAACTTTTCGTGGTACCCGTGCCACTTGTACACGACGGAGGATGCCAACTCGACGCTCGTGAACCCGGCGACGGGCGAAGACATCGACAACCCGGCCGCCGAGTGCGCCGACGTCGTCGTGCCTGTTTGCCACCCCGACGTTTGCGTGTTTGCGAATGGAACCAAATCGGACATCACTGTGTTTGTCAAGCGCATGCAAGCCAACGTGATCACGACGCCGAAGAAGGCGCTGTGGGTATTGCAAGGTGGCCCTGGGCACTCGAGCGAAGCCAGTACATGACCACATTCCACGTGACATTCGTCTTATTGTTGTTTCGTAGTGGAAGGGCTCATGAGCGAAGCGTACGCGGCCGCGAACGGCACGATTAGTGTGTACACGATGGACCATCGAGGCGTCGGCCGCAGCACGCTCCTGAGCTGCGTCGATACCAAAACCGAATCTGACTTGGCAGCGTGCTTGGGCCATATCAAGGCTACGTATGGTACGCTTTCGTGCGATGGAGATCGATGGCGGGCGTGAACCATTTTCGTAGGGACGCAAGCCCCCGCGGCGTTTTCCGTCACGAGCGCCGCGACCGACTTGAAGCGGTTTGTCGAGAGCTCGACGTTTGACGACACGGACGTGTTTGTGTACGGCGTCAGCTACGGCACGTACCTGGTCGAGCGGCTCATGCACTTGGCACCGACCACAGTCAAAGGCTACATCCTGGACAGCATCCAGAGCGAGCAGTTTTACCAGCGCAAGTCGGCGCCATACTACTCGAATTGGGACCAAGACGTTGGTGAAATCGGTATGTGTGTGCGCACAAAGTCGTCGGGTCACGTCGTGTGTAGTCGATCGGTTCCTCGCGTACTGCGACCACGATGACTTTTGCAGGTCGTACATCGGCCCGGACGCCAAGCGGACGCTGATCAAGCTCTACAAGAAGCTCAACAACCATCACACCATGACCGAGTGCGCCGAGATCCTGCGCGAATCGGCCAAGCAGCTCGGGTACACGACCCCGTCCGACGCGGCCTCCAACACCATGTACAACTGGCTCGGATCGCGCGCGACCCGCGTCTTCATCCCGGCGTACATCTACCGCGTCAACCGGTGCAACCACGACGATGCGATCTGGCTTCGCAACGTGCACCCGCCGGCGCCGATCGAGTCGCCGGGACAAGTCGCCCAGCGAGGACCGTACTTGAACGGCACGGGCATATCGGACGTCGTGTACAGCGACATCGTGTTCAACGAGATCTGGAAATCGCCGTCGCCCACCGCGGACGAACTGTACCAACAGAGCGTCGACGCGCTCATCTCGCTGGGGAACGTGCCAGCGTCCCAGACCAAGATCGCGGCCTACTGTGTGTTCAAAGGCAACGCAGATCCCGTTTGCGATGGCCACCCCACGTTCAACGAGAGTTTTGCCTACCCCCGCGACGCGTACTGGAACAAAACGGCGGCCATCCCGCGCGGCGCGAGCGTACTCATGTTCACGGGGTACCTGGACCCGGCGACGCCACCCAAATACGCGATCGACGAAAACAAAACGATGCAAGGCACGCAGAAGCTCCTCCTCGAATTCCCCTTTACGAACCACGGCATCATGGGCAATACGCCCGTGGAAGACCGCCCCCACGACAGCTGCGGGTCGACGATCTTGACGTCGTATTTGGCGGCCAACGGCGACTTGAACCAAGTGCGCGCCGAGTGCATCCGCAACGTTGAAGTCCTCGACTTCTCCAAGTGGTCGGCCAACGTCTCGATGCAATTGTTCGGGTCGGAGAGCCCATATGAAGACACAAACGTTCAAGCGCAAGTCGCTGCGGTCGCGACCGAAGTGGTCAAATCGTACGGCGCCCAGGTCGTCGTGCTGTCGGCACTGTTAGCGGTCGCTGTCATTGCGCTTGTCGGCATGGCCGTGTACGTGATCCAGTTGAAGGCCCGCACTGGTGGGGATGCGCCTGCCAAGGCCACCGCAGCGGCGGAGGTCGAGGCCGCCTCCGACGGCGCTGCTGCTGCGAAAGAAACGGGGAAACCGGACGATGTAGTGGTGACGGTCTAAGCAATGTGCACGTGACCCTTCCTAGCATTCGTCCGAGAAAAGGTGGCACAGCGCCGACCATGATGACTGGGGTGTAGCAGCTGCAATGCCGCATCTACAGGGCATGCACCGCGGCGCTTTTTCAAGACCGGATGGCTTTGTCGAGGGGTGGAGGGGATGTGTCTGGTTGGTTGGCGTCGCCTGCACTATCGAGGCAAGACGTCCAGGTGTGCATGTGCAAATTGCATCATCCTATGTGCACCCCACCCAGTCGAGCCTCCTGCACCGAAGGACCGACGAGTACGCCACGGAGGCACCGACCGTCCCTTGCGAGACCGCAGACGGCGACCGAGATGCGGGGTCGGAACATCTCATATCTTGAACCAGCAAACGTGGAGCGTCGCATTCAATCACAGCATGTCGAGGGCAGCCGCCTGCGCGTCCTGGAGCACTTCATGCGGTCCAGACCACCGCAAGATGTTCTTGATTGCCTGGCGAGTCCATGGCAGCCGCACGACGTCACGCAGAAACGTGACGATTTCAAAATGGCCGCGATCAGCTGCTTCTTCGAGGGCCAGCACCGTGCACCCTTCGTCGCGATTTTCGTGGAGCCATTGGACCACGGCCAAATGTCCGTATTTCGCGGCGGCGTCCATGGCCCATGTATTGCATCCTTCGTCGCGATGCGTGTGAAGCCACTTGAGGACGCGGAGCTGGCCAAACTCGGCGGCGGCGTTCATGGCTGGCCCGCCGCACGCTTCCGGGCGATACGCGTCGAGGAATTGCACGATCCCGAGGTGGCCACATGCTGCTGCGTACTGCATGCAGTGCTTGGGAAATGCTGTCACGGTCTCGTCAGCGTGAAGGTACTGGAGGACGTTGAATTGGCCGTTAATGACGGCGGCGATGATGCAGTCGTCGAGCACGAGCTTGAAGCGGTACATTCGCCGTAGCCGTCGCATACCAGTCACGTTTCCGACAGACGCGGCATGGATCACGGCGCGAGTCGGTCCCTTTGGCACACATCGATGGAGATGGCGAATTCTGGAAAACCCGTGGCTGGCGTACCACGGAGGAAAGATGCTGTCGAGGTGTTCGAGGTACTCGACCCATCGATCGAGGCCGCGGCGGGTCTTGCACTGGCAGAACCGTACCTTCAAGAACGGAATGATGTCGAGGTAAGCGCCCGATTGAAACTTGGCCACGAGCGGGAGCAACTCCACGGACAGCAGGACACGCGCAAACACGTCGGAGTAGTGTTCCTGGGTAGTGGACAGCGCCACTGACGAGACGGCGCCGTCGAGTCGTTTGAGACGCTTCGCGGGAGGGTGTTGATGAGGACTTGATATGCCGTCGTCGTCGTCGTCTTCTGTGTCACTTTCACTGATTGTGCGGTTTGGACCGACACTCGGTGGGGTGCGGCTGCTGTAGTCGTAATCCTCGCCGTCCTCCAGAGAGATGGCCGAGCCTTCCACGAATCCGTCATCGGGCTGTTCGTCGATAGACGGCGCGGACGCGCCGAAGAACACCCGCCGGCAGAAGCGCACGACCTCCGACACGACCATCGATCGCGTGCCCGTCGCGGGCCAGTTCGACGAATGTCGAAATCTGGATCTTGGTCAATCGAATTCACATGGAGGGAGTAATTTGATTCGCTAAAATGCAGTTGAATTTATTCCTTATAGCCAATCCACCAAATGCGCTCTGTGGATTATACACCAATGAAAACGAGGTAGAATTGCACGAGTCTTCAAGAGATGCCACAGCAGGCAAGGCAATTCGTTCATGACGGCGCGTCCAGCTCACGAATACGGCGCTGACGTGTAACACCGTCGGTTCGGGACTTGCCACGAGTGGCAAGTGGTGATGGAGGTCCCCCAGGAACCCGGTATTGTGACGTTGCGGGAGATTTGGCCGCCAACGCGGCGCCATTTTTCCATCGGTCGAGAGCGTCATATACTGAGGCGTCGTCGATTCGTGTGAGCAACAACGACGACTTCCGCGAGTGCCAACGCGCTTGTGCAGGCAACCCTCACTGCACGGATACATCTTGACGAAAAACCAACTGGATGAGTGAGCACCCCCTCCTGCACACGGTTTCCATCACGTTTGTCTTGTTCGAGCTCTAGTCGATGAACTCATCGCAGGACGGCACAGGAAGCGGACACGATCTCCATCGTACGATTCGGGGTGGTGGTGGGTATTGCAGTGGCGTGTAGACGCTTCATGAAGCTGTGGGTCCCAATACCCTTGCGTCCATTTCCAAGTCTCTAGACCTAGACATCGTCCAACATGGCGCTGCATGCATCCATCGGCATTGCATGTCCATGGGGCTTGTGCAAGCCCATGGGACTCAACTCGACTGCCAAACTTCACCAAGTTCACCTGTCGTGATGACCGTACGGACTTGTGACGAGCAGGTCATGCTAGCTAGCTCCATGCATGAACAGGATCGACGAAGAGGATATGAATCCAGCGGCGCTCAAGGTGGCCAAGGCCAGCAGCAGCTACATGAACGAGCCTCGACACAATCGATGCACAATGCACAGTCATATGCATCCAACATGTCCATCGAGTTATCAAGCAGATGTAAGGAATGCCGTCGCCACAACTTGCATCGGTAGGGCGGCCCGGCTCAGGTTTGTGCGGCACTGACCGCGACGGCTACGCCATAGCAGCACAGACCGTTGACGTTCCTGCCACGGCATGGGGAAGTTTCTTCGGCATGGCTGTCGGCACGATGGTCGATTTTGACAGCGAGGAAGCTGCCGCCATGCGTCGCTGACGTTCTTGGTTGAATTCCCGCAGCAAACACGCGCGAACCATTCGATTCAGCACAGCAGAGAACTTTGTTTTCCACACCAAGCGCTTGCAATAGTGGACGACGCGGCGCCACGCCGTGGCATGCACCGTTGTCCGCACGTCGCGCAGCACGTTCGTTTGGAACCTGCGCTTCCAAACCAGCACCCGACAGAACTCCACGACGCGTTGCATGCTGTCGCGTCCACGCGGACGTTGCAAGAGCGCCGCCATGCTCGCAGCGCGGTGCTGCACCGCTGCGACCTCGACACGGTCGGACCAAGAGAACTCGGCCGAACAGACACACGTCATCGAGTTGCATCCGTCGCCGCGAACGAGCGAGATCGAGCATTCAGGGCACGTCACGACCTCGTTGAATGCATGATTTGTTAGCGGCTTGCACATTCCATGGTGGAAGGCAGACTTGCACTCAAAGCAGAGCCGGATGCTGCAGCATGGCGACTTTACCGCGCGCACGCGGCTGAAGTGAAGAAGGCCAAATGTCGTGCGTCGTTCGGGGTCGTCTAGAAGATTCAAGACGTGCTCCACGACGAGAATGTTCTTGGCGACGGGTGCCAAGGAATTGGGTCGAAGCGACGATGTCTCGGGGCGCGACGGACCAAACGCCAACATGATGTAGTCGTGAAGCGCTGCCGCTGAAATGCGATAGCGCACGAACTTGCGGACCAGACGGCGCAGCCATGGCAGCTTCATCTTGAGGGATGGAGTGAGAAAAAGTGTCGGTGGAGTCGGGTAGTCTGGGCCAAGAAGAGGTGTCGACTGGTCGCAGTACGAACAGCGCAGCTCAGTTGCTTTATACGTCAGCTTGGTGATCCAGTCGGCCAGTTCCGTGTCCACATGGCCGAGGCGCGAGAGCGGCATGTGGTTGGGGCACACAGGACAGCGTGGCTTGATGGCCAGTCCTGGCACGAACGATGTCGCGAAGTGCTGAAGGTACGTGCGGGCGCAGTCGATGCAAACAACTGCCGGACACGACAAGTTGCATATCGTGGCCAAGTGGTCGTCCCACAACGGCACAGGTTCGAAACAGACATCGCACTCGCGCGCAGACGTGTCCATGGAGGTGAGAGGGGTGCGATGAAAAAGTGCGGTCGCCACCGCGATGCCACGCCATGGCCGCTCCGCTCCCTTCCATGGTTTTGCGAATGATGGTAGGAAACTGTCGATTTTCGACCGACCAAACCAATGCGTTTAAACTTTTCATGGAATAAAACGCTCTTTCGCTTGGTGGTGAAGCGTGGGGACGACTTGTGGGAAAAATGGATTTAACGTCACCCTGGAGTTTAACTCGAGTATTTAACTGATTTCTGAACCGTTTCATCCGTTCCAGCAGGAACACCCATCGCATTCTCGTTAGGGCGGCAAAGCGTCGAAGGGCGTCGCGGCCATTGTGCCTCGCCCTGAAAAGGCTGAGGCGAAGCACTCCGACGTCATGCTTGTTGTATAATAGTGGCTGGAAACTTCCAGTGAATCCAAAGCAATTGTCGCAAGAAAGGTGGTCTGTAGGCGCATGGTATAGACTCAAGCACAAGCCAAAGGATACATTTTCCGTCGGCGCTACCAGCATCAAAAGGAAGCGCTGGAGAAGATCCAAGCCACAGCCAAAGTCAGCTGGGAGCGCAAAGCGTACGAACACATGCGCATGGCGCATCTTACGCCACGTGCACGACGATGACAAGCTCGGCATGGTGCGCGCTGAACGAATGGAAGGAACCACACGTGTGGCCAAGAGCGTGCCGAAGATCATCGTTAAGGAAATGAACCCGATGCTAACGGAATATATACCTCGAACGTATTGCAGCACTTATCTGCTATAGCCATTGCTTGGAACACTGCAAACAATTCAGGTCGGTGCCACCGGGTCCGCGATGGAGCTTTGTAACCGTGGACTCCTCCGCCCCACAGACATGGCAGCAAGGTAGCTGGTCCCAATGCTGTGGACAGCAATTCCATGTACTCGCATCGGCGGGAGGGGTTAGTGGCATCATCGCAATCGAGAAAGTGCTGCTTGCACCACTCAGCCGCGCGTCAGGAACGTCGATCCATGGCATGGGCGCATCGCTTGTTCGTGTTTGGATCGAGTCAAGCCCAGAGCACTTGGCTGCACGGCCATCATCGCGTCGACAACGACGCCATCGCTGAGTGAAACATCCGCAGCTGAACGTGATAAAAACCGCCAATACGCACACCACGACCACTAACCACGGAGACGACAGCTTGACGGGGGTGGATATCCTAGACGGCGGGTCCGTCCATGGGGTTACCGTGCGAAGGATGGGCGAGGGCGTGGCAGGCTCCAACGATAGTTTGGGACTTGCAGTCTTGGGGGCGTTCTGAGTTGTGTGTTGGGTAGGTGGGGAACTACTCGGTGCTCGCGACGGTGTTGATGATACTGGTGTAAACTTCGCCGGTTCCTTTTCTCGGGTGGTCAGGGGTCGAGTCGATGGCGCGGTGCACATTGCAATCGTGGAGCACCGAGGGACACACCCGAGTACGACGGTGTGCCGATTTGGCAAAGGCTCGCAACAAGACCCAAATGCCAAGCGCGGTTGAGGGCCAGGACATAACCCCAGCCGGGAGAGGTCACTGCCACCGCAGGATGGTCCATTCGGCGCAGCGAAGACTCCTGGAACCCCAAGCACACTCACATCACCGCCGGCTACGTGGGACGACGACAGTGCGATGATGCCCGAGACGGTGTGGCTCGACAAAGCCGTACGCATGGGTTAGTCGCCGACCGTGTCGACGTTGTCACTGCGCACGGCGCAAGATATTTCAAGAGGGTCGAGCCCATGATTGACGGTAAAATGTTGCGCATTTCATGGCTTTTACCGTGGTTCGTCGGGAGGCTTCTGAGTAGTGTGTGCACGAGCTGTCGCGCTAGAAGGACTGAAGCGTCGGGCGTCGCTCGATGTTGTGCGGGTTGGAATCGGTGGCGACGTAGAAAGTCATGATGCAGTCAACTGTACACGCACTGGCCCTCCTTACGACGATTTTTCACGGCGCAATGGAGCAGGTTGGCTGGAAGCACTGTCGTCTGGAATTGTCTTGGCCGTACTGTTTAAACAAATGCATGATCCCGCCAGGAGTGAAACCATCAGGGGCGACGAACTGCACGAGGATGACTATCGAAGGGCATTCACCACGTCACGGCACAGTCCGTGTGCACGGGAATTCGACAGCACTGTGCTGCGTCAGGAGTGTCTGGTCATCTCACTGCGCTGGCCCGAGTGACCCCTCTCTTGTGTACCCACGAAGATCGTGTGGCAGCAGATACAATCACGGCCATAAGCGTTCAAAGTATCGAACTTGTATGCATCTGCTGCAGCAACTCGATTGCCTCCACAAGCGCGATCGTCGCTCGGAACTTCACCCTCGTTCAAGACTCCGACCGGCGAATGACGCTCCTCCACTACACTCGCGTTTGCACCAGTGGCCTCAAACGAATTATCCATCCATGCCTCACGAGGGAGTCTACGGCAACACCACCTCGCCCACGGCGTGCGATGGCGCAACGTGTCCGCAGTGCTCAATCGTTTTTGTTCCGAACGGCGAGCGTCTATCAAGTGTATGTGGCGCAGAGCTCGACTGGGCGGCAGACTAGCTCACGCTCGATGGCAGCATTGAGTTGAGTGCATAGAACTACAAGTCCAAAGACTACGAGCTGCGCAGAAAGCGAGAATAGGGAGCGAGTGTTGTTGGACGCGGTTGGTTGTGATTAAATTTTGTCGGCACGTGGTGTGGCAGCGACGACTCAAAACGGCAGTGCTGCAAGAGCTGGCAGCCACTGTCCATTAAACCAAGCCAAGATATGACGTTCGTTGAAGGTCGCACTGTAGATATTGCGTGCGACCTTGCCGACAGGGTCGCGCACTTCATGAGCAAGTCAAACAACTGCGCGAGGGCCACTACAACAAGTGGCCATACCTTGGCACAACTTATTTCCACGCCGCTGTATCGGATAATCTCTTCAACTTGTCATTTTCGACAATAGATGTGCCTGCGCCATGTGCTCTCGATCGGCGCTGGTGGTGCCTCCACCAAACCTCTAGGTCGCTTGGAATAGCGGCATGTTGCCGATATCCTTCATCATGTCGAGGAATGATCACAACGATTCATGCACATGCATGCCCTTGGCCGTGGTTGTACAGTAAACAGCCGTAAATTCACAAGTATCAAATGTCCTCATCCGAAATCCCGCGTTGTGAAGTTGCCACGTCATGGAGTCAACATGATAATATCTTTAAAGTACGAATCGAACTTACCCGAAGTAGGTGCGCTCTGAAGTGAATGGAATGTCAACTTTGCGATCCAGGCGACCAAGATGACAACGGTTGAAGCGCGGCTGGGCGCGATGACCGAGGAGGCGATGCTGGAATGGCTCACCTACTCGACGGACATGCGTGGAGTGGACGTCTTGACGTACAGAGTACGAGGCGTCGTCTCCTTGGCCGAGCATGTTGCAGCAGTCTTGTCTAGACCCCGACTTCCCACGAAACGATCCTGCATGTTGCGGTGGACCGAGACTTCGCCCGCGCCGTGCGATGCCTCGTTGCCACATATCCTGGAATCGTTGACGTACAAGTGTGTACATCTCGTTCATCGCTCAAGATCACTCGAGCACGACATGATTCCTTGTAGGACGTCTACGGCACAACTGCGTTGATGCATGCGATTGTCAAGCGCTGTGATATGGACATCGTGCATACTTTAGTGCACGCGACTACCGACTGGGCCATCAAGGTGTGCGATCTCGTTGACTCGGGGCACGGCCCACATGTGCCTCGGGGATGTAGTGCCACGACGGGTACTCTGCCATGTACCTCGCAGCAGAGCAGTCTCGCTTGGACGTGTCTCGATGCATCCTACCGGAGCTACCCGACGAAGGCGCTCACGTACGTGCCTTCGTCACGATGCCCATCCAACGCTTCTTCCTCCAGGACTTGTTCACGGCGATCGCAGAGAATGACTCGGATATTCTTCGACATCTCTTGGCGGCCGGAGTGTCTCCATCGCTCAAAGTAAGCTTGTGCGCGCGCAGTGTTATCGCCAACCGTGAGTTGGTAGCGCCCAGATGTCCTTCAGACCCCCGCCCTTCACAGCGCGATCCACAATCCCACGCTTCTCGCCATCCTCCTCGACATCGATCCATCCCTGGTCGATGGAAAAGTGTGTAATCTTGCAACACACGTCGCGACGTCCATGGACACGATGCTCCTGGATGGATAGGATCGCCAAGGCCAGACGGCGCTCGCAGTGGCGTCGACACTGGGAGAACTGGACGCGATTCACCTGCTGCTCCAGCACAACGCGAGTGTGGACATGCGGGTTTGGCCTGCTGCGCTGCACTTCCATGTCAACGCATCGATGTATGGTAGGACCATCGCGGGCGATCCCCTCTCCACTTGGCCGCCCACCACGAGCAGTTGCAAGTCATGCAGTGCTTGTTGGGCCATCGCAGCACGTCGGTCGACATCAAGGCAGGTCCAGAAATGCCGTGGGCGCGACTGACCTGCACCAGGACGATGACCAGCGCACGCCGCTGCACTTGGCGGCGGAGAAAGGATTCGTTCGGGGGTGCCATGTCTTGTGCAACGCAAAAGCGAAACTCCACGCCACGGTTCGACGCGATCCCGTCGACTGCTTGGTCGTTCGCAACACGCCCCAACTTCTAGGATATGCACGGGTGGAGCCCTCTCCACATCGCAGCGAGCCTCGGCCACCTAGACGTGTGCGCCTACTTCGTCGACCACGGAGGTCTTGTGCTCGACTGGAACGATTCGGTGCTGTGCCGGCATCCATCGTCTCCCGCGTCGTGGGTCGCTGTCTCGCCCAACAAACTGTGCCTCATTTACGCCGAACTCTGGTGCGACATGTCATCTCGATCGGTCCTTTCGACTGGAGCTGTGGAGGCCACCGACCTGCCGTGCTGTTTTGAATGGCGCAAACATGACAACGTCATTTGTAGGGACGTCGGCGTTCCTTCGACCAAGGCCAAGTATGGCACGCTGCGCATTCGAGACTTTGAAATGAACACACTGCTGCACGTGGCGGCGACGTACGCGGCCGGCGTCGACACAGAGTACCTCTTGACGACCTTGCAGCGCCACATCTCGGTCCATTCGCTCGTACGTGTTGTGCGTTTCGAGTGAACGGGGCTGAGAGATGAAGCAGAACTGCCATCGCGCGTCTCCGTTGCAAACCGGCAACACGAAATCGCTTGGCTTGCTCCAATCGATGGGGTCCCGGGACGATCAAGCAGCGGTTGGGTCGTGTCTTCCGTTGGGGACGGCATCGTCCAACGACTCGATCGACTTGGACATCAACGACGGCCCGTTCAGTGCATGCTCGTCGACAAAGCTCGTCATGCTACTCCATGAAGTCACCGTTGGTTACGCCGCGCTCGGCGAAGCCACGACCATCTGCATCAGCGCCGAAAACGGCGACACGATCCTCCACGCCGTGCTGGAATCCATCAAACACCTCCCCGACGATGTCCAAGAGACCATGTTGAGCGGCCCCCACTGGCTTGGATCGACCGCGCCAGACCTCTCGCTCCTTCTCGACCGCAGAGTACGTGCGCACCATGTCGACAATGCATCCGCAGTCGTCTCCAGCCTCGCCTGCCATGACTGAGGTTGTGGCTGAATACTGACGCTTTTGCAGAACTGGGCTGGCCGGACTCCGTTGCACGTGGCTGCCGCCGCGGGGGCCCTAGGTGCGTGCCGGGCTCTTGTGACGCACGGTGCATCTCTTGCAGTTGGCGTTGGTCGGCCCGATGGCAGGTTAAAGTTCCCGTCATCACAGTCGGTTGAGGGCTGGACAGCGCTCAACTTTGCCGTTGATCTTGGCCACGATGCGCTCATCATGTTTGTGTTGAACCAACCGGTGGCGCGAGGCATCTTCCCCACCGTCAGCGGCGCGATGGAGCACTTGAAGGCAGCAGTGGCGGCAAAGCGGCCGCGACTGCTTCCTCGCGTCCATCAACGTTTGCGGGTTTGCGACGACGCCGCGGATGGCACGACGTTGCCAGTCGACCCCATCACGATCACGGCCAAACAGCGCAGCGAACAGGTCAGTCGGGTGTTTTCTCGATGGACTTGTGGATAAACATGAGGCGTTGGGTGTAGTTTTTGAAGCACCGAGACGACCCAAGTGCGTGGAGTGTGTTCCGAGCGGTCGTGCAGTGTGAAAGGCATGGTGTGAGTGCGCTGAAGATGGTCGAGTGCCGCGACTTGATCGTGAAAAGTACCGGCGACTCGTTGCTGCACATACTGGCGTGCCATGCTGATCGCTGGGCCGAAGTTACATACCTCCTGACGCAGGAGAAAATCCCGGTCGACATTCCCGTACGTCCATGGCGACTAAGCGTTTGATGGAGGCAGCGCAACTGTCGCTACCTCCAGTCGCTTGCTTCGACTGGACGCGACAACTCATGCCTGTCTTGACTAGAATCACCAAGGCAAGACGGCACTGCACTACGCCTGCGAGCACCGGGCATTGCCGATGGTCTCGCTGCTCGTGTCGCACGGCGCCAACCTGCGAGCCAGCCATCGCGCCGTGCGATTACCGCCTGTGTCGTCGCACTTTGACGTGTTAGCAGGTCAAAGGGTAGTGAATTCCAGCAGGGTTTCCGTGAGCCAAACAGCGGACGAGGACAAAGGCAGCTCGACAAGTGGCCTCACGGAGTCGAATCACGGCACCACCGACTCGTCGTCGACTAACACGCGGCCGTCCGAGCAGCTTCAAACACCGCTGCATGTGTGCTTGAGCCAGTCGGTGGCAGATGCAGTCCATCGGCGAGAAATCCACGGGATAGTCGAGTTGCTGCTGCACCACCCGGCGTCGATTGCCGAGCCGACGTCGACACCGACCAACAAAGGCGACGGTGCGGCGGAGCCACCCACATGGAACGCCTTTGTGTTTGAGCGGGTCCTGGCCGACTTTCCGCCATTGCTTCCGCTCTATCTCGATCACTTCATGACCATCAGCTCGTGGTACGGCGCCACGACGATTAGTTACTCGGAGGTGAAGGACCTGTGCCGCAACGTGGACCGGCTGACGCATATTCCCGCCTTGATGCTCCACCCCACGATTCGAAACGCGCTTCAAGCTCGATGGCGGGTACGACAACGTCGAGTTGTGTCGAGTGGTGACGTTGTTGGTAGCTGTACGGGCGAAGGCTGTACCGGAAAGAGCTCGTGCTGTCGGTCGCGCTTGTTTTGAGCTTCACCTTGTCGAACTACACGGTCCTGACGCCCCAAGACGACGACGGCAACATGACATCCTTTTCGCCTTGGTTTGACTTTGTCACGCCAGACGATGCCGTCGTCGGGACATTCAAGTTGCTTACGTGGGCGCTGGCACTCTACCATCTCGTGTACGTGGAGCTGTGGCAGGAACTTCGCTTGCAGCGCCATCGGTACTGGCGGTCTGTATGGAACTACATCAACCTGGCCACGTACTTCCTGCTCCTCATGTCGCTGCCGCTCGAATATGCGTCCGTGCGGCCTGCCATCACCGAGTCATGCCTGAGTCTCGCGAGCATCTTGCTCCTCTTTGGCCTCATGCAGAGCCTCCTCGTGTACCCGACCTTCTCCGTCCTCCTCTTCTCGTTCTCTCGCATGGTCCGAGTGGCGGTCAAATTTTGCTGCCTCCACTTGCTGCTGCTTGTGGGGTTCACGGCAGCGTTTTATTTGATATTCCACGGCAAGTCGGGCCATGAGAGCCTGGCCAAGAGCTTTGCTAGTGTCTTTTTCATCACGTTCGGCGAGATCCAATTCCATGAAAACTATGCCGACGTCCCGAGCCCGGTGCGGTACTCGTTTGGGCTCATCGTCCTGATAGCGTACCTCGTCTGCGTCAACGTCGTGGGGCTCAACATGCTTGTTGCGATGATGACGTCCGAGTACGAGCAAATTAAAAGCCAAGCGGAGGAGTTGGCAATGCTGCAGCTGGCGTCGACCATGCACCGCTACGAGACGTGGCTCGGGCGCCGCGCGCTGGAAAAGTTGTACGATGAATCGGTCTTTGGCGACATGTGCGCTGCCGTGGCTGACGGGCCAAACGAACATCCGCTGGTGAAACATCCGAGTTCGAGAGCGATCAAGAGCGACGATGGCCATGCAGCGGACACGATGCTGCACGACCCGACGTCAAAGGACATTGCGGTCGAGCGAAGCATGGTTGAATTGACGCAGCGAGTGACCGAGTTGGAGTCCCTCGTCCAGCAGCATGTTCAAGCCAACCACATGCTTCTTCAAGAGCTTGTCGGCCTGTTGCAAAGGTCGTCGTCGGCGGCGAGATAGCTGCTTTCGAGGGGACAATTTCCAGTCGGTGCATTCCCGCGATAAGGTTGAATCAGTCGGCACGTGCATCTCTCTTGTAGCATGGCCAGCGTCGAAATGGCAGCGACCAGGCCAAACCGTCGGGTTCAGCCAGCCCCTCGAACGGCCCAACTGAGTGATAGAATTGCCGTGCAACTGCGCCATCCAACGGTCACGTCGAGAGGCCAACGGTACGATCCAAACACTAGTTGGGCGTTGGTGATGTCGTCATTTCCCCAACAACGCTGTCGATGGCACTGATGGTTGGATCTTGCCCATTTCACCGCGTGTTTCGGTGCTGTGACGTGATGGAAGCCGTGACTTCGTTTCAGCGGGGCCTGCCGCCCGACGTGCATGTATTTCTTGCCCAAAGCCCTCCTGTCCTAGCCGTCCATGTGCCCGCGCAACAGCACTCGATCTTTCTCGTCAAGATGGCGTTTGCATCGCTGCATGCGATCGTCGACCCATGGTACCGCGAATACGGCACGACCCGACTGTCGAAGATGATTGCGTGTGCGCCCCAGTTGCTTGAAATATTTCTTGCGGACGCCATTTACTTTGGAGAAGTGTCGGTCGTCACGCTCTTGCTCCGCTTCGCCAAGACGACCCCGCTTCCGCTGGACGAGGTCGCACTCACGATGGCTGTCACGAATGGCCAAGTGGAAATGTTCCAGATGCTGCAGCAGCACGGGTACACCACGTGCTCGCACGACGCCTGGACGTGGGCGTCCCATGGCGGCCACCTGCACATGGTACAATACTTGCACGAGCGTTGCCTCGAACGGGGGTCGGCTACAGCGATGGACATGGCTGCACGGAATGGCCATCTGGATGTCGTGCAATGGCTGGATGCATTTCGCTCGGAGGGGGCATCTGTCCGTGCGATGGATCTTGCTGCAGCGCAAGGCCAGCTACACATACTCGAATGGCTTCAGCATCACCGATCCGAAGGGTGTTCGAAGCTCGCAATGGACTTGGCAGCACGGAATGGCCACTTGGATGTGTTGAAGTGGCTCCATGTGCATACGGACGAGGGCTGCTCGACGGGAGCGATGAATGGCGCTGCTGGATTCGGTCGGTTGGCCGTGCTGAAGTGGCTCCGTACGAATCGAGACGAAGGCTGCACAACGAAAGCAATTCGAGCAGCCGCCAAGTATGGTCACTTGAAAGTGGTCAAATGGCTGCACCGCGTAATGGGCCCCAAGTGCACGACAAAAGCGCTCGCGTTGGCCAAGAGCGGCGACCACTGGGACGTGGCCGCGTATGTTCAACGCAACTTGTACCACAACACTGCGGGGAGATGGTGAACGCAGGTCGTGGCTCCGCCGTGGAGTGAATAGAATCGATTCCTCGATTGATGTCCTCCCATTATGTTGCTGAGTTGATGTTGTCGGTGTTTGGCATTCCCACTCGCATCACACCGGAATTCATGGTCGCACATTCTCTTGTTTGTCATCGTCTCTGCCGGAGTCTCTGGTGCCGCCGAGGACCGTCCTCGTCCAACCTTTTGGCACCTCCAACAGAGTTTGTGGTCGCCATTTTCATGGCGTGTGCATTGGTGCCGAGCATTTTCCTCGGTGTCATGCGGTCTCCGCTTTCACCTCTTCAAGCATGCACAGCTTTCAATTGTCGTCAGGAATGATGATTGATTGGTTAAAATTGCAAATACCATTGTGGGTATCCAATCAAAACTGACCTTCACAATCCAACGACAATGCTCACAAGATTGCTTTGAGTTATGCGTTGTCGCGATGTAGGGTGAATCCGGTGCCGAGCTCGATGTGAGCGAGCTCTTGACGCACTTGGTGGCCCGTGAGCATGGGAGGGTACCTGGCCAACCGGTCAGGTGTGGCAAAGCGGCCGAGGGGCTGCAGTGTGTCGTCCGAGTTGATATGGGAGAACAGCGTCGATGATACGCGCCAGAGACTCTTCTTGGCGGCCTTGCTCGCTTCGATCACAGCTAACGTCTCTTCTGACACTACAACTTCGTGGAAGCCAGCTTCCAGGTAGCCGCCAGTGAGGTACTCGATCTGCTTGCCAGCCTACTCGCCAAATTCAGGGAAATTGGTCAAGTTGCGGATGTAATCGAAGTGGGTGTGGTCGTACTTGGACGAGGAGGCACCCATCAGGAACGCGAACCAACGCCTTTTCGCCATTGCGAAGCCAGATGTACAGGCCAGGGAAGCGAGATTTGCCATGAATTGTCAACAAGTTGAGATCTGCAAATATGGATGAGTTCCAGTTCGAGGTTTGGGGTGGTGTACCATAGTGGTAACCAGCCAAGACGTCGTGGAGCGTGTGGTACTTGTTAAAGTTGCTGCCGGTTGGAGCGAGTAAATGCGGAGCGACGTTCATGTGTCGGGCAAATGCATCTTGTTCCAGGCCCAAGCCGAGTGCCGCCATTTGAACGATTTCATGGATCGCCGCGAGCATCTTGTTGCCCCACATGTTCATCACTTCTTCCCATTCTGGAAATGCCTTGGGGACTACTGGTTCGGCATTGAGTTCCGTGAATTGAGAGTTCTACGTATGATGATCATCGTCGACAGGAACTCCAGGAAGAAGCAGTGGATTCTACCTCGGGACGAGGACCGGCACGCCAAAAGAATCGACTCTTCTTGTCCAATTCCGGAGGGCACAGCGTGATGGGGCGGTGTTCTTTCGCCAACCCTTCGGCGCGTGTGCAATGGTTGCGCGCCTTTTCTTGCTGTTCGGGAGTCACGCCCACTTGGTAGCTGTATTCAGGTCGTGCATCTTCGACAAAGTCAGTGCGTTCGAAGTAGCGTTCCATCAAATCCAAGAAGCGGTTGTTGTCGGCTTCAGTCGCGCGCTACAGCACATATCTAAATATATGTCGAGATGGGATGGATATCCCCGTCAAGTTGTCTGACGTACCGGATCGCGCACGACCAACACGCCAAACTTGTGCAGGCATTCCGCGACCTTGTTGCACTCAGCCACGACATCGGCGGCCTTCACGTCCGTCACGCCGATGAACTTGGCGAGGTCAACCACGGGAAGGTCAGCGATCGGAGTCGAACTCATGGGAGAGCAAATTCAAAAATGTGCCGTCAAACTGTAAAATCCATCGGGATTTTGCTATGTCATTAAATTATCTTCTCATTTGTATTGAAATTGAATGTGCGCTAAAAATATTACGTTGTTGCTCTGGGCGCTTGCGGGAGTTGGCGCCACCACATGATGAACACAACATGGATGAGCGTGGTATGTATGGTACTCATCCGCTCGTCGCGCCGCTGTCTCTCAAATGCTGGCTCGTATCATTCACACCAACTGAAGCTCCATGAAGTGGTGGCGGCAGCGCAATCGACGTACGACGGCCGCTTTCTGCAGAGAAGTAATGGGTCTCTTCAACATACCAGAGTCGCGAGAGCGCAATCCCAAAAGCATCGTGTCGAAGTTGAGCTGTCACCTCGAGGCATTTCGCTCGTAGAGCTTGGAGGGTTTCAGAAGGCATCGACGGAGTCAAGACTCTCGCCAACGTCGTGTGCACAATCGTCTTGGTTTGATATGCAGGCAAGGCAGGGAAGACGGAGTGAGCGACCAGTCTACGACGTCGTTAAGTGTCCGAGGGACCAACACAAAGATGCCACCTTAAGCGATCCACTGTATCGTCAGGATCGTCAAAGAGCATGACGATGGAGCCAGACGACGCCAGGACAATGCTGTGAAAACGGAGCGAGAACTGAGGAAAGGCCGCCGCCAATGCCCGCAAATCCGACAGCTCTGACATGTGCTTCATGTGAGGGGGCATGCAACGACGCGGGCGATGGAATCTACCGTGCGCGCGAATCGCATCCGAAAACGGTCTGCGATCGTTCGGATGGGACGTGTGGAATAGTGTGACATGCATCGACTCCTCCGTGTTGACATGAATCGAGACACCAGCGACAGACGACACGATGGCGTCGGCGGCAACGGTGCATGACCGTGCACCTTCCTTCATTCGTTTCCGTCGGCCTTGTCATCTTCAAGTTCAAGTCGACTTACCGGAGGATGGGGACAGCACACAAATCGGACAGGAGCTCCGACGTACGTTTTGGGTTGGTGGTGGGCGTCAAAGTGGCGTCTAGACACATCATGAGGCTCTAGTGTTGACGAACTTGAGTACGTGCGCAGTCTCAAGGACCTTGACGTCGTCCAATTTCCCGCCGCATGCATCAATTGACGCGTCCAGCGCGCGGTACAGCTCGCCGCGACAATCGGCCATTTCGATGAGAGAGCGCGTGAATCGTATCGGACGTTTGATTGGTTGAAAACATGGAATTCAAGTCATCTGATTGGCTCATGTGATGGAAAACCAGACAACAGGTTTCCGCATTCATGCAATCAAGCATCTATCACCACGTCGGTTCAACCAGACGGAGGCAGTCGACCGCCCAGGCGCCGCGCTGCTCTGCGTGTGCACCTTTGCGATAGCGCTGACTGCCTGTGCGCACGAGTGATGAGGGCTGCGGAGACATCACATAACTTGGCCTCGAAGCTTCTGCCACAAATGAGACTGGTCCTGGTCTTCTTGTTGAGTAGATTGTGATGCGCGACAACAATCGTATCATCCTGCGACTACACTCCCTCCGACACCATCTCGAAACTACCACGATGCAGCAGATTTCGTGAAGTAAACGCTGGCCTTCATCACAGTGTGTTCTATTGTGAGATGGACCGGTATATCGTGAACATGGGGTTGTCTATGGCTTGTGGGTGGAGGCCTGCTTGATCGTGGACGCCCACTTGTAGCCCAACGGGCGCGCAAAGCGGAGGGTATGCAGTGTGTACACGGTTGACGTCATGAGCACAAGCGCGCCGGTTTGATGCGCAATCGCAAGTGGAATCGGCACGCAGTTCAACAGGGTCGTGATGCCGAGCGCGACTTGACCCGCGGCTGCCGCCACATTCAAGTTGAGGGCCGTCTTTGCTTGCGCCGGGATTTGCCACCACACGTTCGGGTTGCGCGCCAGTGCGTAAGCTCCCGTGATGCTACCACCGCCAAAAAAGTCTTACGCCATGGGAGGTCAGGTCACGGGCGTACCCCGCAAGCGTCGACAAGGCTAGAATGCGGTGATCGAACTGAACGAGCGGCGTGTTCTCAAAGAAGTTGACGTGTAGGGGCTAGGTGCGTGTCACTTGGTGAGAAAGACGATATCGACGACCATGGTCGCGTGGTACCTCCATGTCAAACATGCCGTCGGGCAGCCACTGGTCGCCCATTTTAGGGAACGTGTTGTACGCCATGCCCGCGTCAATGCCGGCGACGAACGCCCCCGACGCAATCGTGACCGCTAGCAGCGTCGCCGACCGGTGCAGCCACTTGCGGACTTGCGTGATCTTTTGCAGCCCGGCTGAGGTGATTGTGTCTTGAACTAGCTTGAACGTCGACTCAAGAGGCGGCGACAACACACCAAATGCCGTCCACGTCAAGAGCCCGCACGTCGTAAACGCCATCCCCAACTGTCGTTATTCGAATGCTCCATCAGGTTTGCGACCACATCATCCATGCAATTGAGACGCACATGAGTGGCGAGACGGTATGGGCTGACGCGAATTTCGCGGCGGTCCGTGGGGTCGCGATCTTCCAACCCGCTTCGGACCATCCACCACCCGATGCCACCCTGGACAGAGATAACGTGAGATGGGTCGACCGCTTCAAACGTCACCTGGACCGCGCCAAGGCCAAAGAGCGTAGCCAACCGCCCGTACATTTCCTTGGGAATGCGCTTGCGAATCAAAAAGTATGCGAGCGGCGCGGCAAAGGCCAAGCCGACAGTCCGTCCGAGCATGCGGTGGCTGTACTCCCAAAAGTAGATTTGCTTGAACTCGTCGACCGTCATGCTCTTGCGCTGCTGGTACTCGGGGAATTTCTTGTAGAGTTCGAACTCTTCCGCCCATTCGGCGTCCGTGATGGGAGGCAGGCCGCCGTGAGGCTTCCAGGTGACCATGGACAGACCAGACCGAGTCAGCCGCGTCGCGCCACCCACGGCGACCATGGCACCCACCATGCCAGCACACCCCATGAGCCACCACGCAATGGGGCGGTTTGCCGCCACGTTCTCCAGTGTCGCCACCTTGGTGGCTGCTTGGAGACTCTATCAACACCTTGCTCAACCATTTGCACTGGGCCAGCGAATTCGGATGCACTTCTGCTCACCATGTACTTGGGCTTGTACACGAATGGACCGGGCGAGCGACACGCCACCGTTTGATGCACCTGGGACAGCATGAGTTTCAGCGCAAGAGCATGGCGCGATCGTGAAGTGTATGCAGTGATGTAGATTCCTATATACCAAAGGGGTCCTACCGAGGAGCGGACGGCGGCAGGCACGGCGCGGCGTTGCAGGGCACGACAGCGAGCCAACATGATCACCAGAGAGAATGGTGTCGAAGTCAAAACATCAATTTTTGGCCGGATAACAATTATCCGGATGTACCTTTTCTCGCACAGGTGCATTTTCAGCTAAGCCGACGTGCGACGAGGTAGTCCACGATGCGCATCCCCATGGTGTGTGATGCAGGGGCCCCACTCCATACGTAAGTGATATCCTCGCGAATCCTTGGGCTGTGAATGTGGTACGCAAAACACTGGTCCCGCACCAGGATGAAGGACGAGACGGGCCGGCGAGTTGCGGCGGCGAAAGAGGAGGCAACAACCGCGCACATCGCCTTCGCTTTGACTCGGCGTATCAAGGCGACAAACACTACAAAGCCGCTTGCTCAAGCTGATTCATGATCATGTGGATGCTCCTGCTGGCTTGCAAACTGCGACATTCGTGAAGCGTTTTCCATGTTGCGTTGACATGGGTGAGCGCGAGCAGCAGGCGCCAAGGTCGAGGCAAGTGATTCATGTAGCCAATCATAATCAATCAATTGGGAAATTTAGCCAACGTGGTTCGATATTGAGACGAATTTTAGCCAATGACATGATAATCTCGTGGGTCCAATCACAAGGGTGGATTTCCATTTGAATCTATCCATGATCAGGTCATTGCCAAACTTTGTCCGAGGAAGAGCGAGCCATGACGACTCCGCACGATCAGTGGGTAAAACTCCCCTCCATGCGCGATGCAGGAGCTACTTCGTTCATCTTCGTCGATCGTGGTCACTCACAAACCCTGTAGACATGGTTCCTCGTCTTTGCGACGGTGTTTCTGTCGTTCTACATCTTTACGAGCCCGTTTGTGGAAAACCGCGAGCTGTTGGATCGTTGGACGCCGTACGTGTACTTTTCGATGGGATTGTACACGTGGCTGTTGTCTGCTGTGGCGGTGCACGTCCCGCTGACGAAGCTCGGCATGATGGACTACGACGTCAAGCAACCGGTGCAATCTCGTCGAACGTCCGATTCCTCCCGCCCCTGCTCACGTCGTGTCGATCGCAGGTGTCGCTGTTTCTCCCGATCTTCTTCAGTTCGATCGCCATCCTCGGGACGTTCCAGACTGTGTTGTACCTTCTCAAGCGTTGTGGCTTGGTCTCGCAACTGTCGAGTCTTTCGTACGTTTCCATGGAACTCTCGACGTTCATGACAATAACGTGTTCGTGCAGATGGAATCGCCTCGTGTCGACCATACTTCGCAACAGCGCGGCCGTGAGCGTGTCGTGCTGCATCTTGATCGTTCACTGCGATGCCGACGAAGAGGTAATGCAGCATCCCACATGTAAAGGCGCACATGTATGCATTCGTCGACAGTGCCTCCATCGTGGACGGTCGCTTGGAATGGGATTCTGAAGTTGTACACACGTGTAGGACGCAAATTTCCCCAAAACGTACAATCGCCACGCCTGTGAGCATGTGTTTGGAGTCGCGAGCTCGCGCATCCCTGTGCCAGCCAGGTGTGGCATCGATTGATCTTTTGAACATCGTGTTTCGTACCAACGAAGGGTGCGATGTGTGTAGCTACCAAGGCGCGCTTTTCATTTGGATCACTGGGCTTACCCTTGCCATGATCAACTTTGTGTTTGAGCGGCTCGTGGGGTTCCAAGTCTTTTCGATGCAATGGCACCATGACGCGGACGATGAAGACGACGACGACGAAAACGCAAAGCATGCAACCCTTCCGCCGGAACACGCTCTACCCATGGTCCCTTGGTACTCGATGTTTATGTTCGACACGGGATTCCAGGTGAGTGCAACTACCATGCGTCCTGATGGGCGGAAGCTTCTTCGATTCGTACTTGATATGCTGGATGTGTGAATGCCGCGGCGGCTGTCGTTTTGAAGTCGTCGCAGCTCCGTTTCTGTGTTCAAGGACATGGGATGCATGTGGCGGATTGGAGTGGCTCGAACGAGAGCTTCTCTTGGTGACATGTGCGTGCCGTAGCTCCTGATTTCGCTCAAGATCTTTCTCGGTCGATTCGATAAGCGCACCATGCAAGCGGCGCTCCATCCCAACTACAAGGTACTGTCCGCGTCATCATCGCGCCACGACACACCAACCGAATGGCCAAGGACTACCTGTTTGACCATTTGGCCGAGAAAGACGACGTCTGGTTTGACTTTATGGCGGACTGCGGCGACGGGTTCAACAGCAGCTTCCAAATTGCACGGATGCTCGCCCAACCCCACTTGAAAGTGACCGTCCCGCTCACGAATGCGACTTTTCCCCGCCACGACTCGGTCACATTGCCGCGCGGCAATTGCCTCGTTATTGGAGGCGACCTGGCGTACCCCCACCCCGATGCCGACTCGTACGAGGTACACAGGGCCGTCGCCACCCCCTGATCTCGCGTCATCGTTTTTGTGGCGCAGTCTCGGTTTTGGCGCCCATTCGAATACGCGATGAAACCTCCGACGTGGTACGATCCGGCGGTCATTTCGACCAAGAAGCCGACGCTTCCGCGGTCGTGCCAGTCGCTCAAAGAGTATGCAGGGCCAACGTGCTTTGCCATTCCAGGTCGGTCCCCCGTCGTCACGCTCGATGTATCCCATCGTTGGGGTTTCTCTGCAGGGAACCACGATTGGTTTGACGGACTCAACACGTACAGCCGGTTTGTGTGCGAACGGGACTGGCTTGGTGGATGGCACTTGCCCCAAAACACAAGTTTTTTTGCCCTCCAATTGCCCCATGGATGGTGGGTGTTTGGGTGCGACCTCGCGCTCGAGGACGACATCAACGTCGAGCAGTTTGCGTGCTTTGAAGCGATCGTAGAGGCCCACATCGGCCCCACGGATCGAGTTATCATTGTCACACACGAACCTAGTTGGATCTTGGATGCGTACGAACACCGACGCAGTGAAGAGAAGCTGCAGTACCTCATCACGACCATCCTGGCCGGCCGCGTCGTCGTTCGGTACGACAAGATCGCTTTTGTAGGCACGGTTCATCGTACTCGCGTGGGGCGTAGGTTGGCAGGCGATGTTCACAACTACACGCGCCACTCGCTCATGGAGTACGACCAGCCACAAGAGGCACACCCGACGGGGACGGCGTCCGCGAACGCCAAACCTCGCTCGACGCCGTCGTTATCGGTCAAGACGTCGGCGTCGAACGAAAACGTACGTGTGCAGTGGGTTCCGAGTCGATCAAGGTCTCCATGACGAATCCCTGCTCTTGTAGCTGACGTCCATGTCGCCGTTTTCGCCCGTGGCCAAGCATTTCCCCCACATGAACAACGTCAAGCACCCGTCGCCTGTTATGGACTCTTCGAATCCAATGCCGTCGATAGCCACAGAAACCAAACCGGCGCCGGAAGCTCCCGCCCATTTGATCGTGTCGGGAGGTGGCGGCGCCTTCCTCCACCCGACCCACGTGCCGTCGGGCGACAACTTGGTCGCATCGCAACGATTGTACACGCGCGCGTCATGCTATCCGTCGGAAAAAGTGTGCCGGTGCGTAGACACGTCGGCATGGCCGCCTCTTTGACGAAGCGGCAGCATCATGGGTCCATTTTTGTAGACGCTATGCTCTGCTCAATATTTTGGGGTTTCGCCGGCGCAACTGGCGCTTTGACATTGTCGGCGGCCTGGGGGTACGTTGCTGGTCGCGCCGTACGTCGGCATGACCAGCCCCGCCTAGTACTTTTTCCTCGCGTTTTCCAAATTTCCGCGATGCTCGGTTGGACAAATCTACGAGGTGGGTGGCGCTGTTGTTGTCGGTACATTCAAGGCACCGTTAGAGCGCCGAGTGGACGACGGTGGCGTGGAATTTCGTCGCCGACCTCTGGGCCGTGCACTACGAAGTGTTTACCACGTCCTACTTGAGTCTTGCGACGTATGTTGGCCTTGGAATCGGCCACTGGTTATTTGCAGACTCGACTTCGCCCACCAAGCGCCTCGTGATCAGCGTCGCCACGTCGTTGTGCCACAGCATGGCCGCGTTCAGCGTCCTCATCGCGTTCGAGTCGATGTTTCAAGCTGCGTCCGATGGGTACCTTCCACTCAAAGCACGTCGAGTCACTCTGTTGGACTAGCGGCGCGTTGGGCGGCGACGACGGCGTCGACGCGCTGTACAAATACTACCAAATCCACGTCCCCAACATGGTGCAGCTGCGCTCGTACGACTACTTCAGCCTCATCCCGCTCTACTCGACGTGTGTCAAGTACATCTTGACAATCTTTGATGGTACCGTCGCCCGTTTTCTTGTTGTCGTCGCTCACGGCGACCGCTCTCTAGTGCCCCAAGCTGTCGCTGTCTACCGCACCGACGTGCGCGCGCCGCCCCATCGAGAACGAATCATCACGTTGCATGCATGCTTGTGTAGATTTGCCAAGCCGGGTTCGACTCGCTCACGCGCAGCGAAGTGTTGGCATATTACTGTTCAGTCTTTTTGTACTTTTGGGTCGCGGTACGTGGGACCGTGTGCGCGCGGTGCGGTCATTTGCGCTTCTTGTGGTAGGCGACGCCGTTGTCGGGGGTGATCGTTGGAGTGTACTTGTACTTGGCCGTGAATGTGTTTCACAGCCATTACAATGAAGCGTTTTCTGCGTTGCGCGTCGCGAGTTACAAAAACTTTCTTCGGCTACACATCAAGTCGAACGGGGATTTGGAGATCTTTGCGCTTGGTGTGGACAAGATGCCGACCAAGTGGATTCGGTACACGTGTCGTTGGTCCGTGTGATGTGCCGTCGTCTCATGGGTGGTCGGTTGAGTCAGGGACCCGGACTGGAGCGGGGCGACCCAAGCTGAGAAGGTGTCGCCATCATACGAGTGGAAAGTGCCAAGCTACTGGAAGCCCAAGATGAGTCGCGTCGATAACATTCTGCGCTTTGACATGGAAGAAGAAACATTCGATCGAAAGTTCAACACGGACGATCGGTCCCAAGTCAAGCTCGTCGACTACGTCGTGTACCACAAGGACGCGTAACATCCGCGCTGTTGCTTTGTCGACCACATGCGGTTCCAGCCATTTCTGTGTACGCACCGAGCCACTGGCGCTGGAAATACAATCGGCACGAAATTTGTGTACGCAACAACGTCTGCACGGCTCGATCTTCGTGACTGGATATGGCGACGATCTCGCCCGCGCTAGGTTGATTCGCGCGGGCATCGGACACCACCCAAAACGACTCGCAGAAACATGATCTAGCCGGTCGAAGTGGTTGTGAACGGAAGGGACGCCCATGCGATCGCGGCCTTGAGCGCGCCGTATGCAGCATCGATGCCCAGGCCTAGGTAACTCGGTTGGTACTGTGGACTCGGGACTCGCAAGGCGGCAGGGGCCACTTTGGTTGATCGGCGCTGCGAGTTGTCGCTTCGCCACCACAGCACCGAGTACGACATCGACGCAGCTTCTCGTCCCGACGATTGCGCTTCGAGTATAACTCCTGCATACCACGCGCCTTCGACTGCAATCTCAACGGGATCCCCGGCGGCAAACACATGCGACTGCTGCCCTGCCTCTTCGTCATCGCGTCGTTTGTCCAAGCTTGTGGCGGCGACGCCAAACGAGTTCGGGTGAAGGGCCCCCGAGCGTCGTCCGTCGCACGAGTCCATTTGCAAACTTCCGCGCGGAGATGCGTCCGTGATTGCAGTCGATGTGGGAAACGTGGCAAGGACTCCAGTCGACGCACCACCCCGGCGGTCTTGCGCCAGAGCGTGCTGCACAAGCGTCGTCCCGAGCATCTCCGGGCGCTGCGACACCATGCCATCGACGATGCCGCCCATGTCTTCCAGCACATTCCAAGCGACGCGGGCGCTGTCAACGTTGCTCACAAACACGCGAAGGCCACGTCGATGGGCGTCGGCGGCAAAGGCGGCCGTCACGACCGCCGCGTCCACACACACGTGCGATACGTGCAGCTGCTCCAGATCTCTGCAATACCCGAGAGGAATCGACTGGCCCATGAGCGCGACGGTGTGCATATCGGAGAGCGTCGGGAGAGACCTGCGGTGGCCGTGCATGGCCAAGAGTTGATAGTGGTTTCCCGACGCAAGGTACAACATCGAGGACGTCCACGAGAATGCGCTGCGGTCGCCGTTGTCCAGGCAATGGCATGACGAAGCAAGCAGCGCCATGAGGGGCGGGATCACATCGTCGTGGCAAACTGCCAAGAGGATGGCCATCGGGTTGCTGGTCTGCCGGAGCTGTGTGAGGACGTGGTGGAGCGTCCAAATGTTGTAGCGATGCGCTAGCTCGTCGGTCGAGACTTCCGATAGGAAAACGTCCTCGCCATGGTGTTGGGTGACAGCCGGGACAAGTGCGCCGCTATGGGCGACAATGTCGCCGCTGCCGCTGAGGTACACGTTCAATGCGAGCATGTGGCAGCCCGAACGATCGACGACGTCATCCATCCAAGCCAAGGCAACCGCAGGGGATGCAATCGAGATGACTCGGGGCCAAACCATTTGGGTGCTGCCATCCTTTGCGACTGCCGGATGCGACTCGGACGGGTCCAGCACCATGGGAGACGACGACGAAGCAGAGTTTCGTCGGCTGGACCAAACGGTGGTCGACGATGGAGGGGCCATCGCGTACTGACGTCGAACGGCGGCGAGGAGGTTGTCAGCAACTTGTTTTGCATGTGCCAAGACGGCGTGGGCGGTAGCAGGTGGCAATGATGCCGCCCGAGGTCGTGGAGACGGCGGTGACACAAACGGCGACGACATGCGCGGCATGGCGATCGCGGACAGCTCGGTCGGTTGGGACGACAGCTCGAATTGGAGTTGCGTGAACAGGTTGCCAAAACGCTTGACAAGCCCATCGATTTCGTAGTCGCGCGGATCGATGCTCTGCACTTCGCGGCAGAGCGGGCACGCGTGGATGTGGTGGGCGGCTGCTTTGGCGAGGCATGACCAGCAGAACGTGTGGTGGCACCCCAACGTGACGGGGCTTGTGTGCGGGTAGAGGCAGATGGGGCACGACGCGTCGAGCGACGGCAGCAGAACGGGTGCCACGAGTGCCTGGACCAGGCTGTCGAGAACGGAGGCAGTCTGCGAGTACAGGTGATCCACGTAGCTGCCGGCGTAGAATGGCTGAAGCAGGAGGTCGCCAGCGACGTCGATCGATCGAGTCGCGTGCGAGGCGGTAGTCTTTTCAAATTTCTTGGCGATTTTCACAACGGCGAGGTAGTTGATCACGACGAAGCGCCGAAGAGCGTCAACTCGGCTCGACAGATGCAGCACTCGCTCGAGTTGGTACTGGAGAGATGCTGCCCACTCCTGCTGCTCGACGATCGACGAGGACGATGTGGGGGAAGGGGGAAGTGTTGTAAGCAGCGAATTGTTGTCTTCGTGCTGCCGTGTGAGATCGTCAAGGATCCAAAAGAAGGACGCGTTCACTTTGGACATCTCGCGCAGCAGGGCTTGATGAAACGCAATGGTCCGGTCGGCATCACTGCCAGTACCAGTCTTGACCAGCTGCTTGAGACCTTTGTAGTCCACGTACCCGCCCTCCCACTCGGGCGACGCAAGACACCGCATCCGCTTGCCGAACTTCATGGCTGCGTGACGGGATTCGGAATGCCGTCGAGGCCAACGTAGTACTCTTCCTCCTCCGGGTTCCCGATCCTTGTTACTGGTAATGGCGCGCTTATTCGTTCCTGCGTGCTTGAAGCGCTCTTTATTATATTTTACCTAAGGCTTGTTTTTTGTATATATTTTTATTGTAAAATTCAAACTTGAATCTGTTCCGTTTTAGATTCTAGGATATACAAATATGCATATGTACGAATCTCCTAAGACGTAACTATCCATGTCTCTATGAATAATTGGCGAGATTGTAAAAAATCACCAGCCTCATGACGAATACAGTGATCACAAAAAAGTTTAGAACCACCCCCGATCTTAAATGCAACACAAAGTTGTGTCGATACTTTGTCGATGTTAAAACATTCATGCTTCGCTGAGATTCGTAGTTGGCCCGTGCAAGAACTGTGCCAGGACCTGACGGATGAGTCGCGCCAATTTGAAAAAGCGTCATTTGACAAAAATGTACTTCGAGGCGCTGGTAACTATCAATAAAGGATAAACCACTGCGTTCTTCATGCACTTTCTGTCGTATTCAACGCTTAAAACTATGTTTCTTATGCTAACGTTAGTCAAAACAAGCTTACATGATTCCAGTCTTTCTTTTGCTTGAATTCATCGAACAACCATGCCAGCGCGCCTCAAGCTATCCGAGGAGGAGCAAGTCAGGATATTGGTCCTATGTACTGTCGGCAAGAGCCATAGAGAGATTGAAAAGTTTGTTGCTCGTTCTCGAAGTGCCATAACTGCAACCGTCCGGTAACATCCGGTTATCTCTCGCCAACCAACAACGATTGATTTGCGTGCCTCAGTTGTAGCGTTAGGTTAGATTAACTCTACCAATTCATTCTCCATTCTACCAAGCAAAGCGCATAGTCCTCTGCGCCCGCCTACTCTTCGTGGCAATAGTATGGTAGACTAAGCCGCCCAGGAACTTGGCGTTGGAGCGGCTCATCCAAGAACGCAAGGCGAAGGCAGCCGAGCAGAAGGCGGTAGCCGGGCGTACGTTGGCCGCAG